AGGTCTGCCATAGCAATACTCCACTATCCTGGTATCAATTTTCAGGACCCTAAAACTTTTCTTATCCCCTTATCCTGAGACAGCAGGGTTTAACGTCTAACTCATGATTGGAGGACAGAGCCACTTGCTCCAAGAGAAGCAGTTAGGGACTCATTATCTGTCCCTGCCCCTACAACAAGTGGCCTTTTTTCTCTGGACTCTGGTCCTGTACTCATCTCTCAAATGTTTGACTTAGGGAGGTCCATGCATCAGAGGTCCATGCTTGTTTTGGCCCCATTTTTTTCTTTCCATCGACAAATGTTTGAAGAGCATTTTTTCCCCAGAGCTGAGGACCGAACCCAGGGCTTTGCGCTTGCTAGGCAAGTGCTCTACCACTGAGCTAAATCTCCCAACCCTGAAGAGCATGTTTTGTATGCCATTCCCATAAGCACTGGGCAAGCAGTGATGAACACATGTAAGAATCTATGAGGCAAGGTGGCTCAGTGAGTAGACACTTGCCACCAAACCTGACCAGCTGAGTTCCGTTCTCAGACCTCACACGGGAAGAGAACCAACTCCTACACGTTGTACGACTCCTACAAGTCCTACAACCGACCTCCACATGTGCACCATGGCATGTGCTGTGCCCACCCCCTGCCAAATTAATAAGTGTGGGAAATAAAAGAATAAACAAAAAGAATCTATGAGGGGCCAAGGGGAAGACTCAGCTGGTAAAAGTACTTGCTGAACAAGTCCAGTAGCCTGGAATCCATGTCAAAAAGGGGGACATGTAATCCTAGCACTTGTACTGAGAGATGGGAAGCAGAGACGGGGGATTGACCAGGAACTCAAAGCCAGCTAGCCTGAAGTATGCAGCTCAGCAGTAAAACCTAGAGACCCTGCTTCAAACAAGGTGGGAGACTGTCCTCTGATCTCCACACGTGCACCGTGGCACACTGAAGTGTGTGCAGGCAAGCATGTGTGTGCACTCATGCACATGCAATACACATGCACACTTATACACACAGAGGAGGGAGGGATGGAGGGAGGGAGGGAGAGAGAGAGAGAGAGAGAGAGAGAGAGAGAGAGAGAGAGAGAACAAGCCTGATGGACCCTGTTCTCGTGAAGTTTACACACTCCAATGGTGGAAACTAATAAAAGCCATTGCTTCAAGACAAACAGGAAGCAGATGGTTGATAGGACCAGAAGAGCCTTTTCGGAGAGCCGGGTTCCCCCATCTGCAATGGTCTCCAGAAGTTCAGCATTCACCTTTCCCTTAGCGACAATTGGTGTGTTGAGCATGGCTAGCCGGCCAGCGAGCAAGTGTTCCAGTGGGTGGCTGCTGACCTTTGCAGGCATGGGTCTCCTCACTGTAGAGGGGGAAATGAGAGAGCCTTCTCAAGGGGTAGGACTCCAAGATTCTGTGTCAGCACTGTGTGTTCGTTACGTGTTCACATATGGTCTGTTTGTGCTTCCAGCCTTCTTTCCGGCTCAGAGCAGACAGGTACAGTGGGAAGAGAGGGTTTAAAGCGGGTTCTCTCACCTGTCTTCTGGGCCTCTGATTCTGCGGCCGTGGGGAGGAGGCTTCTGGGTCTCAAAGGTGACGGGCACAGAGAGGGTAGGGTCCTGCTCGCCCGTCCACTGTCTCCAGGCAGCTTAGCAGAAGCTCTAAAGAAGCAGCTATTCATCTGGGGGCAGGGCACTGCGCCCTGGTGGTAACGTGAGGTGTGGCTGGAGAAGCTGCCCTGGGGTCTGTTCTTGGTAGTGGTGCCAAGCCCCTTTTGTATATGCTTTGGGAAGGCTGCAGGGAGGGCCCTTCCAGACCCCACTCCCCCCCCCCAGGCGGCCACAGCATGCCCATGGGGATGGACCTGTAGAGCCCTGGGGTGACCCTCTCCGTTTTCATGTGTTATTTCATCCCATCTTTCCCAACAATACAGCAGACAGTCAGTGGCCCTCACTCTACAGCTGAGAAAACAGCCTGACAATTGACCCTTCAAGCCACCTCCTAATAGGTAACAGTCAACACTGAATTTACCTGGCCTGCTCCCTGTCAAGGGCTTATGCTGATCTGGACCCCCCTCCATTGCCCACTCTTCTCAGTTCCCACCCAGCTGCCCTGGGAGGGGAGGAGAGCTCTGGGACCTCTGTGAACCCGGAGCTGGTGACATTTTGTTCAGCTCACTTCCGAGCAGTGGCTTTGGCATCTGTAGAAGAGGTGAACTGTGTCTGAGAGGAATTGCCAAATGGCCGACGATGCCTGAGGTACTAGAAGCTGGAAATGGATCTGCAGAAGTGACAGAGGATCCTGTCTCTCCATGTGCCTCCCTTTACCCAGGAGGAAACAGGCTTGGGGGTGGAAGTGAGGTCCCTGCACACACACAGCTCTCCACTGGTCTCTGGATACGGGCACCTGCAGGCCTCCTGAGGGCTGAGTGTCCTCATCTGCTAGTGTGATGATTAGCTCAGCTCAGAGTGTGGGAGCTCTGCAGAGCATAGATGGAGGGCTGGCCCAGTGCACCACCGGGAAGCCTCAGATCACCTCTGGGCATCATGAGTACTCTTGGTGTTTTCAGAAATCCAGGACTGTGAGGAGTGTGCAGGTCTCTCAGGGCGACTTTAACTCTAGGCTTCTGCTAGGACCTACTCCTAACATCAGCAGGGAAATCCCAGGGAGAGCTAAGCTAGGCTCTGTTCTGGGCCGTTCGGGATTTGAACCTGGAAGATTAGAAGCTGTATCTGAGGTGGCAGCTCCTAGTCCCCTGCCTGTCCAGAGTGTCCACGGCTGAAGGGGACGTGAGTCAACCTTTAGGTCAACTTTCTGTCAGGTGGGATCACCACTTCCATGCTCAGGGAAGTGCCCACCTGAGGCTGTGCTAGCAAGACCACACTGCAGTGCTCCTGTGTGGTGGAGCTGCTGGTGGAGAGGCTTCTCCTAGGGATGGAAGAGGTAACGGTTTTGGCCCCTGAGTTCTGAGGTCCTGAGGAGTAAGTGGTAAAACCGGCAGAAACCCCCGCCCAATTCCAGCTCCTCTTCCGTTTTGTTTCTGAGACAGGGTTTGTCTATGTAGCCTTGACTCTCCAGAAACTCACTCTGTAGACCAGGCTGGCCTTGAACTCACAGAGATCCGCCTGCCTCTGCCTTCTGAGCGTTGGGATTAAAAGCGTGCGCCACCACCGCTGGCAACTCCTCCTCATAAAATGTCCCCTCTGGTGCCATCAGAACCTCACTAACCTGATGCGGGTCTGACCTGGCCCAGCTCCAGCTCCTGCACACAGGGGTGAGTTGGGAGCCTTTCATCATGAGCGGCCTGCCCTCTTTCCCCAAACTCTCAAAATTAAAAGCAACTAGAGATTCCGATGCACCCTGGCCCTCACACGGTATGACTCAACACCCCCTGAAGGAATCCCAGGAGAACAAGGCTGGCCCGCCGCCTCTCTTGTTGGTTACTACCACACTGGTCCTGCCTCAGACCCGCTGCTCTTTCCTGTGGCTCCTCTGTCACTTGGTCTTTACTGAGGGTCACATTGCCCACTGGGCCATTTTGAGACCTCCCCTCAAGACAAGGTCCCACAGCTTCAAACTCACTATGCAGCTAGGGTTAAAATCGAACTCTTGATTCTTCTACATCGACCTGGGTCACAGGCGGGTTCCGTGCCTGGCCCTGTTTTTGGACATTTCTCTAAGGCCGAGTATCACTATTGCTATAAGGATCCTGGGTTTTCCTAAAGAGAACCCTGGGATTTCCTTCACTTCAGGAGACACGTAGCAAGCTTCTATTAGGGTTCAGTGCCAAGTGCTGGAAATACAGAGAAACATCATCTCATTTCGCTAGTGGCTGCCGGTGGTGCTGATGCTGATGTGGGAGGCAGGACATGCTGTGATCTCACTATTTGCCTCATCCCCCAGATGACTTCATTTGCAAGCCTGTCCGTCTTGGATTTTCCAAAGAACCAACATCGTCCAAAAAGTACCACCCTGCCCATTCTGGCATTCAAGACCTCCCAGAATCCAGACCTGCCCAGTCTGGCCAGTCTTAACCCACACCAGGTCTTTGCCAGTATCCAGGACTCTCTCCCTTTCCACATGAAGTATTATCCTATTTATTTATTTATTTATTTATTTATTTATTTATTTATTTATTTATTTATTTATTTATTTGGTTTTTCGAGTCAGGGTTTCTCTGTGTAGCTTTGCGCCTTTCCCGGAACTCGCTTTTGGAGACCAGGCTGGCCTCGAACTCACAGAGATCCGCCTGCCTCTGCCTCCCGAAGTACTATCCTCGGGGCCTTGGCTGTTCTTGCCCTCTCCTCACTCCTCTCTGCCTTAGGAGTTCCTTTCTACCCCCCGGATTTACCCACCTTCTCTGAGAAGCCGTCCTAAAGACCGCTTCACAAGCCTATACTTTCGGGAATCATTTCTATAGTTCCTTACTAAAGACCGCTTTGCAATAAATCGTTTCTTCTGCGGTGCCTACTTGGGTACCTCACAGCTATTCATTGAGTGTCTTCCCATGCCTGACAGGCCCTGGCCAGCCCTGTCTTCTGCCTGGAGCCTGAATTATTCACACCTGCTTCTCACCTCTCACCCACTCCAGGGCCTCCGCAGAATCAGAATCTCAATGATGTCTGTCCTGTCTCTCACTTTATTTTGCACTTTGTCAGAAGGCTTGCAGACGGGGCTCTGCCCATGAATCGAGCCCTTTGGCCTGGCCTCTGTGGCCTCCCTTCACTCTAACGGTATGGGGATGATGCCTCAGGATTCTTCAGGGAACAGTAAAGCCGGGGTGGAAGGGAGCTACGAGAAAGCTAGGCGCCTCGGGCTAGTGAAAGATGTCCAGTGATTGCATCCCTGCACTTGCATTGGCTGTGTGGCAGCGCAGCTTCACCTCGCTCTCCGCGAGTGTCGAGCGCATCAGCTTCCACCACCCTCCGCCTCGGGCCACCGAGGCGGCTGGGAATCTTGGGTTGCCGAGGATTCCGGTGCAGAGTGAGGACTCTGCCTCCTCGCCAGCCTTGGCCCCTTCGAAGGACCCGTTGAACACACCTTGAACCCCACGCCAGAGCGCAGTTCACAGCGCCGCCCGGAACTGCAGCTACGCGACGCGAGCCAAGGCCAGGGGTCGCGCATCTTCGCCGGTGACTCAGGGCCGTTCGGCGGTGGGGTGGGTGGAGGTGGAGAGACAGACCAGGGCCGCGCGGGGGCAGCGGACCGTAGTGGGGGTAGCTGAGCGTTGAGATCCGAGACCGGCTCTGGCCCGTCGCCATTCCGCCCGGGCGTCTGTCTAGCCGAGGCCCCGGGTGCGGGAGGAAGGCCCGCGCTACTTCCCAGCGGGCGCGCTCTTCAGCCGGTGCGCAGTGGCCCGGGCCGCCCGCGGCGTCTGGAGCGCGGAGCCCGCTAGGCGCGCGAATGAATGGGCGCCCGGGGCCGCGCGCGCTCGGGGCTGAAGGGCATTAGGACCGTGAGGATCGCTCCGCGCTCCTGTCTCTTCCTATCACCCCCACCATCACCACCACCACCTCTCTCCTTTTTCTGCTCTGCAGGACTGAGCAGCCCGGCGCGAGCGATAACAAACAGTTGGGGCAGTGAGCGCCCCCCGCCCCGGCTCTGAGAGCACGCCGGCCCCGGGCCCCACGCGGGGCGCCCGTCCGCCCACCATGAGGAAGATCCGAGCCAATGCCATCGCCATCCTGACCGTAGCCTGGATCCTGGGCACTTTCTACTACTTATGGCAGGACAACCGAGCCCATGCAGCATCCTCCGGCGGCCGCGGCGCGCAGAGGGCCGGCGGGAGACCGGAGCAGCTCCGGGAGGACCGCACCATCCCGCTCATTGTGAGTACGCTCTGCGTACCCGGTGAGCGGCGGGCGGCTCGCGTTCTGCCCCCGCGCTGTTAGCCCAGGACGCGGGGCCCGGCCGGGGGCTGCGTGCCCCGGGAACCGTTCAGGCTTTGTATATGTTCAAGAATTCCTGCCCGTTGTTATGGCAACCTGTGCCGGCCCGGCGGGGCCAGGGTGCTTGGATGCAGGGAGGGTGACAGCGTGTGGGGGCAGGGAGAAAGTGCTGCAAGTTTGGTGGGCCCGGCGTGCGCGCGCGATTGGGAACGTGGCGGCTCTCGCGGCCCCGCGCCGCCGGGGGCTGGGGACCGAGGGGGCTGCGGGCGCCTTGCCATCCCCAGAAGGCGGCGGGCCCTGGAGTGCAGCGAGCGGGTGGTGGGAGCAGAGCGCGTAGGTGGCGGTGCGCACCCGGTCTCCAGCCTCTGGGGTAAAGGACGCCGGGTGGCGGCGTGGGTAGGGAAGGGTCGCTGAGCGCTGCCCTTGGCTTAGCGCCTCCTCATCCCAGATCAACTTGGATCCGTTTCTTCGGCATTGACCCCACTCTTCCCCAGAGGTGTTTTCTGGCTTCCCGGGGACCGGGAGAAGGCTTGTCCCGTAGGTGCTTGCCCCGACACTAGGGTCTGCAGAAGAAGCGGACAGTGTCTGCGCCTGGGCTGGGCAGTTCCCTCTCATGAGATCACCCTCCTGACGTCTGAGCGAGCCGGGGAAACAAAAGCGGTGTAGCACTCCAGGAGCCCCGGCAGAGCAGGGGCGGGAAGGGAGGGGGGAGGACTTAGCTGCACCGTAGACCCCCATGGGGGCTTGAGGAGCCTGCAGGGGGCGTTCCTGTCTTCGCTTCCACCTGGTCGACTGGTGATGGCTTTGTGTGCCCAGGCCCAGCACCTGTTGAGGAAAGAGACTGGGACTCGTCGCGAGACCGCTGGGAAGGGAGTGTTCTTCCTATGGGGGCAGGTGACCTCTTGGGACACACTGCTGGGCAGGGGCAGCTTGGTGCGATCAGGACCAGAAGGAAGAGCAAAGAACTGTGAGGGAGTAGGAGGGTAGGGGGAGGGTGCGATTCTGACCCGGGAAGATCTGAACCTGGGGGAAGAGGAGACAGGAACTCCTCCGGAAGGCGCAAGGTCAGGAGTACTGATACCTGTACCCAGTAGAATACAAGGCATTTTAAGTGAAATCCAAGAATATGAAGATGGTTCCGTAGATACCCTTCCACAGTCCCATCCTGCCACAGATGCTCTCACATCACCGGACCGAAAAAGTAAGCCAGGTGGTGGTGGACTGAGCCTTTAATCCCATCACTTGGGAGGCAGAGGCAAGCGAATCTGTGAGTTCGAGGGCAGCCTGGTCTACAAGTGTGAGTTCCAGGACAGCCAGGGCTGCACAGAGAAACCCTGCCTTGGACAGCCAAACAAAAACAAAACAACACAACAACAACAAAAAGGAAGCAAAAACTTACCGATGGGATCACTTTCTGGGTCTAGTGGGAAGAGATCTTAGGTCCTAAGGTTTGTGTTTTAACCTAGATTCCAGGTTGTGGTGCATTTCTGCAAACAATACTTAGGAGGTCCCCTTGTCCGGTACCTAGGACATGGCTTCCAAAGCACCTACCACTGTTTGGACAGAATGGAAAACACACACACACACACACACACACACACACACACACACACACACACACAAACCTGTACACGCTAGGGCCCTGAGATCCATGTGGACTGGCTGCTTGGAACGGGAACAACAAAAACATTGCCTGCCTTGAGACTCCAGTGAGTTCCCACACTGTGAGTCTGAGCTGCCCTATTCTTAGTCCTGGGTGACTTCAGCCCTGGTCTCAGCCTAAGGCCAGCAAGATAGGGGTGAGGCAGGCTGGTCAGATTCCCCACCCCTTTCTCTGATGACCTGTCAGGTGGTGGCTGTCATCTAGAAGAGGAGGAGGCTAAGGGCTGGGCAGGCAGGAGAAGAGAGTGGAGACCACACAGAAACCTTTTGTAGCCCCTGATGCAGAAGCCTGAACCCCGACTTTGGCTGGGACACCCCCGTCTCCTGAGCCTCTCGGCTGAGAGTCCCAGGATGGGATGTGCGTCCGTCCGTTGGGGACACCGTTGGGATCCAGCACACATGTTGAGGGATGAGATTTAGAAGTTATGGGGGGCAGGGCACTAGTGAACACTTCCCTGCCCCTCAGTCCTCCAGACGACTTGTTGCTGGTAAGGGGCCGAGACTGGGAGCTCCGGGTAAAGTGTGCAGGGGAGTTAGGGGGCTACCTGGGGGCGGGCGAGTGAAGGTACAGAACAAAAAGTCAAGAGTGGAACTCCCGGGGAGCTGAGTGGCAGGACTTGCTACTTGGGAACACAGCCAGAGCACTCTCTATTCTTAGGCTTTAGCCTGGGATGTCTCTTCTGCCAGCACCGGGCTGACTGCATGCAGGCTGCACCCGAGGTTGTCTTGCATTGTATCCCTGTGTTGAGTAATTCACTTCCATGTGGTTCTCAGCCGAACACAAGCTGCGCACGCAGGGACCATGCTGGATGCTTTTTGCATCCCCACATTGATACACACAGCAAGACTTAATAAGCACCTCTTTGATAAAGGAGTGCAACAGGATTTTTGCTCGCCAGGAGCAGTGAACGGCTTCAGCTTCAGACCTCCGCATTACTTATGCACAGCTCCAACCTGACCCAGGTAGAAAGGCAAGGCAACAAACACATGCTTGAGAGTCTTCGGCCTTTGCTCAACTTAAAAGGGGGCAGGTGCCGCTGAAGATTTGATTGCTCTCTAGAAGTTTTGGTAACTACACGCTGTCGGCCATTTCCAAACATCTCTTTGTTGAGTTGGGCCATAATTTCAGATTCTTCGAGAATGAGGTGGCCAGCCCTGTTGTCAGAGGCTGCGCAAATTCAGACAGACATCATCACCACTCCCCCGGGAGCCGGAGAGCTGAAACTGGAAAGGGAGGGTCCGTGTGAGAGTCTGGGCCTGGAGGCAGCTCTGCCTTCACCCTGGCCTGTTCAAAGCCAGCCAAGTTGCTTCTGGACCTTGGAGAGCTTGTTGGGCCTTGTGGGATGTCGGCATGGCAACCCCATGGCCAAGTTTCTCAGAGAGGCCCTGAGTCTCGATATTCTGTCTTGCGCTCAGCCTGTGTGTCACAGATGGGAAGATTTGGTTGTGGAAGCTGAGATCCAAGGGAGAAGGGGACTCCATCCCTCTGGTAGCTTTACCGCGTGGCAAGGCTGGTTACAGCTGGGCTGGGCTGGGCAAGGCGGCGGCATATTTGGAAACATCCCCTTGAATCTGCGCTGATCTACACTGGCAGAGGCTGCCCTTAGATCTTTCAGGGAACTCCATTCACTAATACGGATTTGTATTTTATTTATAATGTGTGTACATTTGGAGCTGTGGGAATATGATTTGCCTAAATGATAGAAAATGATTTTGTATTTCATTTGCCTAGGTGCCCTATGTGAGAAAGAGGTTAGGGAGAGGAAACCGCTAATACCCACAATTCCCTTTTCTAGCATGTTCAGATGTAAAGTGTCCATGGGTTCCACTCCTGGGCTGTGGAATGTGGGGATAGCTCAGAGGCAGCCAAGGCTGGAGAGAGCTCTCACAGGGATGCCAGAGGCCCGAGGGCGTAGGGTGCATCTTAGGATGCTGCTCATTCCCCCAGCAATCCCATTATTTCTGTGCAGTAACAGCAGCCCCCACCAGCCGGTGATTCCCCACTAGGTGCTGGGAGGCCCGAGGGAGTTGGCTTCCTTCTGTGGTGGTTAAATTTGTCAGTTCATCCAGCAGAGGAAGCTCTGAGGTAGAAAAAAAAAAATACCATTTAAGGTGGACCGGGTGGGGGGTGGGGGGGCATTGAGTGGTAAGACTGCCTCAACTGCCCAGGGAATTGTCATGCTGTAGTGGAAGAAACCACCTTGAGGTCAGAGGGGAGCCTGTAGCCAAGCTGTTCATTATAGTTAGAAGATTGGAGATGTATGCCCAGCCTGCTTCTTCAGGGAACCCAGAGCACCTTCGCATGAGCAGCAGTACAAGCCTTCCAGAAACGAGCAGGGACAACAAGCTTTCCTGTGAGGTCAATTCATGACCCCCCGGGGCACCAAATTCGATTCACTTAGACACCAGGCTTGCACTGGACAGTCTCATCCTGTGCTCCGCCTGTTCTGACAACTGATTCAGGCCACTTAGTCCAGCCTGTGTGATAGCTACCTGCTCTGTGTTACATTGGGTGATAGCTACATGCATTTGATACTTTTGACACTGAACAAGTACTTCCCAAGCTTTAGCTCTGAATTCCCACCCTCAACAGCCTCGTGAGCGAGGTGCCAACATGATGTGCAGTTAACACAGGAGTAAACTCAGGCTTATCGAGTGAGTGCTCTTGAGGTGTTTAAGACTCTAGATCCGCTGAGCTGGCTTTTCCCTGGCGAGATCCTGGTTGACTTCCCCCACCTCCCATCTCTTCAGATCTACATCCCTGCATTCACCACCACAAGTCAAAATATTGGGGGGGGGGCGGGGGCGAGGAGGAGGGGGAATTGTATCTGTCCTGAGCAGTACAGGCTTCGCCCCTTGTCATTTTATAAATGATACTCTAGAAGGACTACTCACATTTACATTGTAATCACCGTGTAAGAATCCAGATGTGGAACATGGCCCAGCAGTTAGGAGCATGTACTGCCCTTGCAGAGGAACCAGATTTGATTGCTTGTAACTCCAGCTCCAGATCCATAGACCTCTTCTGGCCTCCATGGGCACTGCACTCAAATTGCACAAACCCACACTCAGACACACACAGATACACATAATTAAAAATAAAATCCTAAAAGAGAAACCAGGTATAATATAAAGAATTCAGAAGGTTATGCAGACACTTGGCCATTTTATTTTATTTTTGAGACAGGTTCTTATTTTGTAGCCTTGGCTGGCCTGGAATTCACAGAAATCCTCCTGCCTCAGTCTCCCCAAGGGCTGGGATTGCAGGCACAGTGTTC